ATTGCGATAATTGACTAGGTCAGTATGTTAATTAAAATGGCTCAACGTTATGTTAACGAATTGGTCCACTTCAGAAACGAGACTTCATAAGTTCATGACGAGTAAAAAATACTTATTTGTTACTCATGTTTTTAAATAAGAGATAGACAACAAATATGAAAGTTCTTGCACATACGGAAATTCCTTCTCGTGGCTGCATTTTCATCATTTCTATTAGTTGTGCATACCAAAATGCTCTATCCTTTGTTGATCTATACATAGTTATGCAGACAAAAAACTTCACATGCTGATCTTAGAGAACCAATGTGTCTAATATTTGATCTTAAGCATACGAGAAATTTCCTATCACTACGTCCCCTGCAAAACTCCGGTTTTATAGTGCCGTTTCCTATCAGTTTCAGCCACTGCAGAAACTACCGGTCTCTGTAAAAGATTAATCGGGTTTAAGTTTTTGTTGCATAACTATTTTTCTCAACAAGGAACTATCATTAACTGAATGTGAAAAATCCAAAGGCTAGCTCTAGCATGAATTTTTTCAACAGATTCTGCCATAATTCATTTAATGCTTGTTCCCCATGTTTGTTGAAGGTGTCAGTGTTGGAGATGGATGGCCAAATTGACAAATTAGAACTCACTTACGTAGAAAGCCATCTAAGCAACATTTCAACCAAGTTCTACGGTGAAGTCAGTCAGCAAATGTAGCAACAATGGAACCGGTCTCTTCCAAACAATCTTCGGCTTGAAAATCAGAGACCTCCATGAGCAGATTGTCGCAAGCAAGCCTGGATCTCCATTAGAAGCTACAATGGCATAAAAAGTTCGTTATGATCTCCATTAGATTCCTATCGCGATTTTGTTTCATTTTGAGTGTTGAGTTAAATCCTCATCAATCGAGAAATTCTCCATGATGTACACATTTTCAGTTTGTTACTGAAAGAAAATTTATTACAAATCAGCACAAGAGAGAGAGTAGCTCAAAAACTACATTGCTGGGTTGACATATACAAAATGCAGTTGAGCCTTGTCCTTGCATTCTGTAAGAACAAATAAATAGGTATCATCTGGTGGTGTCAGCCAACTATTGCTAGCAAGCTTTGTCTAACAGCTGGAACAGAGCAAATCAAAGAACCGAAAATGCCAGTAAGGGCATAAGCAATCGCACAAAATGGAAGAGCCTCGGGTTCCTTTGCCGATAATGCTGCTGTTCCCAGTCCATGTGCACTGAATCAACGAATAAAATGTTTAGAGACAAATCGATAAACTCGAAGCATATGGGGAGATGAGCCCCTCTTTTTACTAAGTTACCTCACAAGTAAAAACTGTGGAAAGAAAAATTATAATGGGAGCTCTCGTAGAACCAAAAAAGTATATTTCATGCCTTTGAATAATTACAAGAGCTTAAAGGGAAAATTGAAAATTGATAAGCATTTTTCATCCATAGAGTCCATACCTCGATGCAGTTGCAATTCCTCGAGCAATAGGATCTTGGAAGCCAAATTTGTCTAGCGTCGTTTGAACAAAATTAGCACCGACCAGTCCAGTAAGTACAACGACAGCAGCAGTTAGAGATGAATTGGCACCTAAAACCAATACCAAAAATAATCATTAGTGATGTACATGTCAGACATTTCAAGCCCGGAATTTGTTTGCTTACAACTATACTAATCAAAAACAGATTATGAAAAATNGAAACGAGACTTCATAAGTTCATGAAAAGTAAAAAAAACTTATTTGTCACTCATGTTTTTAAATAAGAGATAGACAACAAATACGAAAATTCTTGCACATACGGAAATTCCTTCTTGTGGCTGCATTTTCTTCATTTCTATCAGTTATGCATACCAAAATGCTCTATCCTTTGTTGATCTATACATAGTTATGCAGACAAAAAACTTCACATGCTGATCTTAGAGAACCAATGTGTCTAATATTTGATCTTAAGCATACAAGAAATTTCCTATCACTACGTCCCCTGCAAAACTCCGGTTTTATAGTGCCGTTTCCTATCAGGTTCAGCCACTGCAGAAACTACCGTTCTCTGTAAAAGATTAATCCGGTTTAAGTTTTTGTTGCATAACTACTTTTCTCAACAAGGAACTATCATCAACTGAATGTGAAAAATCCAAAGGCTAGCTCTAGCATGAATTTTTTCACAGATTCTGCCATAATTCATTTAATGCTCGTTACCCATGTTTGTTGAAGGTGTCAGTGTTGGAGATGGATGGCCAAAGTGACAGATTAGAACTCATTTACGTAGAAAGCCATCTAAGCAACATTTCAACAAAGTTCTACGGTGAAGTCACTCAGCAAGTGTAGCAACAATGGAAGCGGTCTCTTCCAAACAATCTTCGGCTTGAAAATCAGAGACTTCTATGAGCAGATTGTCGCAAGCCTGCCTAGATCTCCATTAGAAGCTATAATGGCATAAAAAGTTCGTTAAAAGCTCCATTAGATTCCTATCGCGGTTTTGTTTCATTTTGAGTGTTGAGTTAAATCCTCATCAATCGAGAAATTCTCCATGATGTACACAGTTTCAGTTTGTTACTGAAAGAAAATTTATTACAAATCAGTAAGCTGTTAGATTGTGATCTTCTTTAAAAGGAATGACCCAACCTAAAATCATATAAAACAAAGAAATTACATGCACAAGAGAGACAGTAGCTCAAAAACTACATTGCTGGGTTGACATATACAAAATGCAGTTGAGCATTAGGAACAAATAAATAGGTATCATCTGGTGGCGTCAGCCAACTATTGCTAGCAAGCTTTGTCTAACAGCTGGAACAGAGCAAATCAAAGAACCGAAAATGCCAGTAAGGGCATAAGCAATCGCACAAAATGGAAGAGCCTCGGGTTCCTTCGCCGATAATGCTGCTGTTCCCAGTCCATGTGCACTGAATCAACGAATAAAATGTTTAGAGACAAATCGATAAACTCGAAGCATATGGGGAGATGAACCCCTCTTTTTTCTAAGTTATCTCACAAGTAAAAACTGTGGAAAGAAAAATTATAATGGGATGCTCTCATAGAACCAAAAAAGTATATTTCATGCCTTTGACTAATTACAAGAGCTTAAAGGGAAAATTGAAAATTGATAAGCATTTTTCATCCATAGAGTCCATACCTCGATGCAGTTGCAATTCCTCGAGCAATAGGATCTTGGAAGCCAAATTTGTCCAGCGTAGTTTGAACAAAATTAGCACCGACCAGTCCAGTAAGTACAACGACAGCAGCAGTTAGAGATGAATTGGCACCTAAAACCAATACCAAAATAATCATTAGTGATGTACATGTCAGACATTTCAAGCCCGGAATTTGTTTGCTTACAACTATAGTAATCAAAAACAGATTATGAAAAAT